AGATTTTAATTCTCTTTTAACATATACCAGTACTCCTTTTATGTATATTTTATGTGATTTTATTAATACTAATAATATGAAACTTTAAATCCTTGTCACTTTTAACATACGGGTAAGAGTCTAACACCTGTGTTTGTCATATTTGTTCTAGGTAATTCAACAAATAGATTTGTCAAAATTCTCGGAGGAAAACTGAATCCTTGTATTATCACAGACTCTTATTTCAATTAAACTCAAAAGCTTTCATTTTCTACTCAATACGTCATTGACGAATTTTATCAAACCGCCACAAAAGAAAGAAGAAGAAGAACTTTTATTCCTATACCAATTCCAAAACATCAACATTTCTCTCGTTTGGATTCCGAGTCATATTGGTATATCTGGTAATGAATATGCTGACAAACTTGCTAAACAAGCTATAGTCTGTGGGGATACTTTCTTATTTAAAAATTACTGCTATGACCTTATAAGAACTACGAAATTAGTATATAGAGATAGATGGCCAAAATATTGGAACAAAACCAAAACGACAAAAGGCTGTCACTATGCCAAAATTCAACCCATCATGCCTTCTAAGCCTTGGTTTTATAAATTATCCATAAATAAGAAACATACATCAATGTTATGTAGAATGCGCTTGGGTCACTGCTGTAATTCGGTTCACCTTGCTAGGCTTCATATTAAAAATTCTTCAATATGTGAATGTGGTTTGGATATTGGTGACTTCAACCATATTTTCTTCTCGTGTCCTTATGATCATACTTCATTATTTAACACTTTGGTAAATCTTAAAATTCCTCTTCCTACAGAAATTTGTTCTCTTTTAATTTTTTCTAAAAAAAGTAAAAATATTTTCAATTGTCTTATGGAATTTTTCATCATCATCATCATCATCATTACAGCCCTTCACAAGTCCACTGCTGAACATAGGCCTCCCCCAAGTAATGCCACAAAGCACGGTCCTGAGCCACCTGCATCCATCGACTTCCTGCATGTCTTACCAGGTCGTCACTCCATCTAGTGGGGGGTCGCCCTACACTACGCCTACCGGTACGAGGCTGCCACTCGAGAACCTTTCTTCCCCATCGGTTATCGGTTCTTCGAGCTATATGGCCGGCCCATTGCCACTTCAGCTTACTAATCCGTTGGGCTATGTCGGTCACGCTGGTTTTACTGCGGATATCCTCATTTCTGAGTCTATCACGCAGTGAAACTCCGAGCATAGCCCTCTCCATAGCTCGCTGAGCGACCTTGAGCGTCCTCATACGGCCAGCGGTGAAGGACCACGTCTCAGATCCGTAAGTCATCACTGGCAACACGCACTGGTTATACACTTTAGTATTCAGAGATTGAGGTATACGTAACGAGAGGATGTGTCGTAATTTCCCGAACGCTGCCCAGCCGAGTTGAATCCGTCGATTGACCTCTCGGTCGAAGTTGGACTTACCTAGTCGGACTATTTGTCCCAGGTAAACGTACTCGTCAACAACTTCGAGCATAGTGCTCCCAACAACTACCGGCATAGGTGTGACATGGACATTAAACATGATCTTTGTTTTGTCCATGTTCATCTTAAGACCTATCCGTTGGGAGACACCATTGAGGTCATTGAGCATAGTGCTAAGGTCCTCCAGCGATTCTGCCATAAGGACTATATCGTCGGCAAATCGAAGGTGAGTGATGTACTCGCCATTGATGTTAATACCGTATCCTTTCCAGTCCAGTAGCTTGAAAACGTCTTCCAACGCAGCGTTGAAGAGTTTCGGGGATATAACATCACCCTGTCTTACACCTCTCTGCAGTTGGATAGGTTTCGTACTCTGGTTCTGTACTCGGATAGCCATCGTAGCCCTACTGTATAAACACTTCAGCACTTCAATATACCGATAGTCAACTAGGCACCGCTGAAGAGACTGTAGCACCGCCCAAATTTCGACGAAATCAAAGGCTTTCTCATAGTCCACATACGCCAGGAAAAGTGGCAGATTGTACTCTTCGGACTTCTGTACAATTTGCCGAAGGGTATGTATGTGGGTTATGGTACTGAAGCCTTTTCGGAAAGCGGCTTGTTCGGGAGGCTGGAAGTCGTCGAGTCTGCGTGCGAGACGATTCGTAATCACTCTCGAAAACAGCACGTAGACGCGGCTCAGAAGGGAAATCGGTCTGTAGTTCTTCAAGAGAACGTTGTCACCTTTCTTAAAGAACAAGACCACCGCGCTTCTGCTCCACGCCTCTGGAGTAGTGCCACCATGGAGGACGGAATTGAAGAGCTTCTGAAGGACTTCAAGTACCGGTGTTCCACCCGCTTTCAGAAGCTCCGCTGTAATTCCATCCTCGCCCGGGATCTTGCCGTTTTTAAGGTGGTGGAGAGCCATTCTAATCTCGCTCAGACTGACGTCCGGGATATCATCGGAATAGTGTCGGTAAGACTTGCTCTTGGATCGTTACTCACACTTGCGTGTGGCTCCAACGATGATGTGTACAGCTGCCCATAGAACCTCTCAATCTCACTCAGAATCTCAGGTGTCCCGGAAACGATGTTGCCACACTCAGTCTTCAGCTTTGAAAGTTGGCTCTTTCTGGCAGACAGATCTCTGGCAAAGACTTTGGAGCCCTGGTTCCGCTCGATCGCTTCTTTAATACGAGCAGTATTAAAGTTGCGTAAGTCTCACCGCATGCATTTGGAGATCTGTCTGTTCAGTTGCCTGTATGTTGTCAAATCTGTTGACGATTGCAGCCTCATCTCCCGTCTAAGAGCCATGATATTAAGAGTGTGATCGGAGAGTTTTTGTCTTCTTCTGCGGCGGGTCTTGCAGAACTTAGCTCCGACCGCATGGACAGTTTCCACGAGCTTGTAATTCATATCGTCCACTGCATTGCAATCCTCTAGGCACTGAAAGCGGTTTTGTAACTCGAGCTGAAAGGTTTCGGGATTCTGGATTAGAGCACGAGGGGGACGGAGCGTTGACTTCATTAGACGAGACCTCTCCAACTTAACATTTAGGTTCAGTGTGCCTCTAACCATTCGGTGATCGCTGCCAGTTTTCACCCTTGCGATCACTGAGACATCACTGAACAGTTGGCGTCTGGTCGTCATAATGAAGTCAATCTCATTTTTTGTCGAACCGTCGGGGCTGACCAGGTCCACTTCCTATGGGGCCGCTTTTGGAAGAAAGAGTTCATCATAAAGAGTCCCTCTTTTTCCATAAAGTCGGCCAGCTGCTGGCCCCTTCGGTTCCGTTGCCCTACTCCAAATTTCCCCACCTTCAGCTCACCGCTTTCTCTTGTGCCTAGTTTTGCGTTGAAGTCTCCCATCAACACCGTGTAGTGGGTTTTGGAGGAATGCATGGCTCTGGAAATATCCTCATACATTTCCTCCACCTCCTCATCGGGATGTGCCGAGGTTGGTGCGTAAACCTGTATGACCTTCAGCGAATACCGTTTGGTGATTCTGAGTATCAGGTACGCGACCCTCGTCGACACACTCCCAAACTTTACAACGTTGTTGACGAAAGACTTGTGGACGATAAATCCGACACCTCCTTGGGACAGATGGTCGCCCTCCCGGTGGTAGAACAAGTTGCCGGACTCGAGGATTGCCGTATCCTCCCCCTCTCTTCGGACCTCGGATAATCCAATAATATGCCAGCGCAACTTGTCTGCCTCTTCTTCCAGCTCCAGTATCTTCTCGTCAGTCCTCAGAGTGCGTGCGTTATATGTTGCCAGGTCGAGTCGTCGTAGGTGGCAACCGAACCTCCACCGGAGATTCTTAGCACCCCCTGCCCCGCCGTTACCATGGTCGCCACCGTAGCCAGGAATAGCGGGGCCGCCGGGGACTGGGGGCCGTTTTTTTGCGTCGTTATTCATGGGGGGATATTTGCCATAGTTGCCACGCTTGGCGAGCGGGTTGGCAACCGCAGTTTTTTTATTATAACACAGTTGTTATCAGAAAGATGCTGCTGCCCATCTCCTGCCTGTCTCCCTCTGTCGCCTCTTACGACACCCACGAGAAGATATGGGGTAGTGGATATTCTCAACCGCCACTACACGGCATGGAATTTTTAGATTTAAATAATATTAGATTATAAAATTTTATTCATTATTTAGCAATCAATCGTCTTTATTTAGTAATACTTACTATTTTTAATGTGATATTGAGTTTAGTATTATTTTAATTCAACCTAACATCCATCATTTATTTAATATACTTCAGTACAAGTCATTTCATAATTCATTATTATAGTATTCTATGGTTCTTAACATTATGATTTTGGTTTTTAATCATAATCGTAGTTTCTCTTTAGATTGTCCGTCGTTTCATTTCAAGTTAATTTTTATTGACAGTAATTGTTAGGTTGCCATATTAAAAAAAATATACCTTTGTATCACAAACTAACTAGACTTTGGGTATATTCCGAAATACAACGCAGTGTACTGTCCAATGCAAATGACGTCATGAATCGACGCTATACTGGTGATTCGTTCCAAAACATTGGACAGTATATGACGTCATACTTTTGCGCCATTTGGAAAAGTGTTGGCGATTATTTTGTCATTTTGTGCTCCAAAAATCATTATATCCTCCTAATGGACATACCATCAATTATTCTATAATTTTTTGTATTTGAATAAATAGAAACAAATTCTGGCATGCTTCATTCGGCAAACACACAATTAAAAATTGTTTTATTATGGCCGTATATCCGACACAATATGGCGGCGGCACGCTAGTACAATGAAGTGTCAAATGATACGTCATTTGCATTGGACAGTACACTGCGTTGTATTTCGCGCATAGAGGAAAGTAATATATCGTACAATTTCGCGGAACAAACCCTTTGTATAAACCATAGATAAATAAATATGTAGCAAGCTACCAAGCTAGTCATAGAGGAAAGTAATATAAAGCTAGTATAAACTATAAACTGAAACTAACTAGATACACGCGTAATTTGACTTTATAAAATAACAATTATCAATATAAACAAATAATAATCAATATGGTTAGTGAATTCTCAAACTATGAATTAGTTAATTAGAATTTTAAAAATAAATTTCACGAGTTTCTTTATATAAATATATTTTATTTTTAGGTGGGAAATTATGATGAAAATTTACTTTCTGATATGTTACCGGTATATTATACAAGATTATTCCCTCAAAATATTTTCTGCCGATGGCTTGCATGTGGAAATAGTCCACAGCCCCTTTCTAATAGAGAATTGTCATTTACACTAGCCGATGATGTTTATATACGATATTTATCTATAAGCAATCAGAAAGAATTTCAGGCATTGCTTCAAAAGAAATGTCCGCACAAATTGGATATTGGTGCTGTATATAACAATAAGTATGATATGCATTTTTATCCTGAATTTGAATTATATTATTGTGACAAATTCTTCAGAAAACATACAAACATGTAAAACACAAATGTATTTGAAAGGGCAGGTGTTGGATGGTTCAGAGAGGGTATGGACCTCATGGTTAATGCGGAGGTGTGTAATCCTGTAGTTTTTAAGGAAAATAAGACTTATTTACCCACTAATAAGCATTGTTTTATAAAACAAGTGACTAATAAGCTTGCAGACCACCTGATGAAAAAGTGCTACTGTAGTCTATAGACACCTTCAGACAGCTTCTAACCAGGAATACTACAGATAACCTGTCACCTCTGAGGTCTAAATGGAATACCTCATAGTCTGTAATTATGGTGGTCCTCCATACACTACAGGCTAGAAAAGTTCTTATTAGCATTCCTTATACCTTTTTTGTGAAGAATATGAAATGGATGGGGTAAGAGTGTGGTGGGCAACCACCTCTTAGTTGTAGTGGAATCTGATTGTTTTAAAGTTATTTATTAATTGTTAAGTGGGCAAAATTTGTTGCAACTGGTCCCTGGTTTTCTTATAACGCTAGAGGTAGGATTGATAATTAAAATATTGATTTGAGGTTGACTAATTATATTTTGTAACAGTTGTTTTACATAATCATAAAGAGCATTAAGTGGAGCTATATTACAAAGCAATTTTTCTTACAGTTTACTAAAGGTTTCACTTCTATCATGTGTGAACTGCACACATGATTTTTTTTATTGCCCATTGATGTGTAAATTCAACATATTGTTTTAAATGCATTCATTAATTTATTATGTTTTTTAAATTTTATTTGTTAAGTGTCTTGTTCAATGCTTCCTTATTGGTGAGGATGTATGTGTGTATGAGTAGTCATATAATAATTTGGTGTAAATTTCTTATGTATTTAAATTCTGAATGTTGCTTTTTATTTCAGACCTTCTATTTCAAGGCATGACGCTGTAGTGCTTGCTAGAGAGTTAGTGTTTGATATCGATTTAACTGATTATGATGAGGTTAGAACATGTTGTCAAGAGGCTAAAGTTTGTGATAAATGTTGGAAATTTATGGTAATTGCCTGTGAAATCATTCACACATCCTTAAAGGGTAAGAATGCAATTATGTCTGTGGACCTGCATTAAAAAATTAAGAATTTGTTTATTTTTCCAATCAATTGTAAACTGCATTAATAATAGGTCCTTACATATGAAATTGGCGTTTTGTATGGTAGGAAAATATATTTAATTAATCAAAGTATGCACCGTTGTTATCTATGCAATTTTGCCATCTCATAGGTAGTTCATTGTCCCCTTTACTAAAAAAAAACCATGGGGGCGACTATCAATAAACTCTTTGAAGGCAGTTTGGACTGTTGAGTTGTCCCAATTTCGGAAAAAATGGTAATCTGTTGGAGCAAGGTCCAGGGAGTATGATGGATGTCGCAGACATTCCAATTGTAGCTCATCTAACATAGTGGTTGTCTGTTGTGCTGTGTGGTCTTGCGTTGTCATGAAGCAGCTGTGGCCTAGAGCGATTGACCAATCTCGGTTGTTTTGCAGCTAGTTCTTTCTTCATAGTTTGCAGTTGTTGACAATAGATATCTGCCATAATTGTTTGGCCAGATTTTAGAAAGCTGTAGTGAACGACACCGGCGCTAGTCCACCAAACACCCACAAGTAACTTTTTCTGAGTCAATTTTCGTTAGGGCAGGATTTGGCTGGGTCTCCAGGGTTCAGCCATTGCGATGAGTGCTTCCGATTATCCTACAGTATTCACTTTTATCACAAGTAATGATTCGTTGAATAAAACTAAATTTACGGATTTTATTGCGTTTATTTCACTACTTTTACTTATTTTTAATTCCCGACGTTTCGGGTACTTTACAGCAACCATGGTCACGGGGGGGACTGAGATGTTTGACGTCCCAATGTCATTGTTAGCCCGGCTACCTCCAGTTTTCTACTACTTCAATGTGTAGTGTTCGCGTAAATTTAAGAAATCATTAAGTAATGATTCGATTTAAAATCCCTTCATTTTTGTGTAAGTTGAGTAAAGTAACACAGCAGTCGACGCGTGTTTGCAAGTTCGATTCACTAAATTCGTGAGGTACCCATCGTTCAAGTATTTTTTCTTTCCCGATTTACTTCAAGTGGATTAATACAGTTTTATTACTTACCCCAAAGCCTGCAGCTATAGCTAAAGTGCTTTGTTATGGATCCGCTTCCACAATAGCCTTTAATTCTTCATTTTCCACTTTGGTCTCCGGCCGTCCACGAGGTTGGTTCTGAAGGTTGAAATTTCAAGAACGAAAATGTAGAAACCAAAAACGTATCATGCTTTCTTTTGCGACATCAGCGCCGTACACATAATTGATTCTTTGAGCCGTTACAGCACTGGTGCCACGGTAGAACTCTTACTCGTAAATATACCGATATTTCATATTTTCCATTGTGCGGTAATAGGCGACGCCAAAGAAAAAAATAATGAGGAAAAAACAAATGAATGACTGTTTACAAAACTCAATTGTACCAGCTAAATGAATCTATGAACTTGGAATTCTTAACCAAGAAGAGATATTTCAGATCAATGTGGTCAGTACGACAAGACGCTAATTTCATATGTAAGGACCTAATATTAATAGGATTCCATTTTTAATGGTGTTCTTGTGAAAAAAGTGAAATTATGAAATAAATAATTTTTATTTTGGTTAAAATCTTGTTTGTTAGTTTTCTTGTCACTTCAATAAAAAAATGTGGTGTTGCTATGTTTTTGATAATGAAACTGCATTTTAATCAGTGAGGAACTAATGAATTCAATATTCACTTTTTTTTAATTGTTGCAGATGACTTTGGTTTTCAAAATATTCTTTGGGTATTTTCTGGACGACGTGGGATTCATTGTTGGGTGTCTGATTATGAAGCAAGAACATTAGACAGCCCAGGAAGAGGAGCAATTGCTGATTATCTGTGTTTAATTATAGGTGGAGATAATCAGAACAAAAAAGTTCACTTGGGAGTTGACAATCTTCATTCAAGCATCAGGTAGAAATAATGTATCACTGTTCTTAATTTTCATTTTTTTACTATTTTTTATTATAATTTTTATTTCACAATTTATTTTCTATCAACTTAAATACACTTCATTTTTGCGATAGGAGAGTATAGACAATTTTTTTACAGACATATATACGCTGTAACTTTTAACTTTTATACATACTATTAATTAATAGCTTTGGGCGATTGAGAGCTTACAAATATTCATAAGTTGTCGCTGTGGTCGAAAGTCCGTCAGGATATATTATATTTATTTATTCTTTATTTGCATTTCTCAAACAAAAGAATATAAAAGTCTTTTCTGTTAACTCATGGATTGATGAGAATTTGACATAGGTGTAGCAATACAGAATAAAAAACAAATTAAAAATAATTTGTAGGTAATTGTACCAATATAATAATATATACAAATATAACTAATATGTATATATAGTCACATTTACTCGTCGTTCAATATCCTTATCATATCTCCCATCTCTGCTGAATACACATCCCAAATATATAAATTCATCTACTTGTATGCTTAAATATATATACATACACACATATTTATTTATATAGCGCCGAAGCCGTTACAGAAGTAACTGAGTCAATATTCCTGTGTAAAAAAGTGAGGTTATGATTTTGCACTTCTGCAACGGCTTCAGCGCTGCAGCAAGTGCAGCCGCTTCGCCCTTGCGCAGTATATCACAGGCACCCATGCTCACATCCGCAGCTTTGGCTTAATGGTGGATGGTAAACTATGATAACAGGTGCCTGCGATTTGCTACAGCGGGCAGGAGCTGCTCTGCCTCTGCATCTATGGCTTTACAAAAAGACTAGGAATAGGGCAGACAAGACTATGTGGAGTTGGAGAGTTCTGATTCAGTTTTAGTACATATTTTTGTATGTGGTAGAGCCATGCTGCAGTTTGGGTTGGCTTGACCGGGGAAAGACCACGGTCTCACAGAATACCAGCGTAAAATAGTAACTTAATGCTGCTGTGTTTCATATGGTGAGTGTGAGTGTGGTATCTTAGTTCTCACGGGTGACAACGCATCTGCATTTTGATTTGTAATCGAGGATAGATGTAGATGTATCTGCAGCAACCACTTACCATCAGGAGGACTGTGTGTTTGTCACCCTATCCTATAAAAAAATCGACCTGTATTATCGATATAAAGTCGGTTACCCTATACTTTGCTATGATAGTGGTAAATGAAACAATGTAATGTGAAATGTTATAATTTGTTTTCTGAAAACACCATGACTCAATTTGTTGTGCATGAGTCCCATCATGTTTGCATTATTTTTAACGTAATTAATTCACAACATAATTCAAGTACTGAGCGTCTATAGCCAACCCATAACCGTCAATACGGTTACCGTCAAGGTCGCTCAGCTGGCGATTGTCTTTTGGCACTTAAAAGCACTGGGCTGGCCTTGCAAAGAGACGTTATTTTTTTCACAATATGCTGATGTGTCACATTGCGAAGTTTTTGGGAGATTTGGTAATTTTATACTATCGCGGTCACCTCGTTTTTGGCTCTAAAACATCGACACATCATCCGATTTCGATGATTTTTTTTAAATTTTCGTTATTACGGCGGATTTATGAAAAAAATTACAAGTATTAAAAAAATTAAAATTTATATTGGTTTCAAAGCTTTAAATGTTCATGAAAATGCACTGATTCACGTATAATCGTTGATAACTTTTTTTTAAATAATCGATTGAAGTTGTTATTTTTTTTTCATAATCTACACAAAAAACGGTCGGACAGGTTAGGTTAGAAGGAGATGGCGGGGTCGAATAAGCGAGCGAATAGATTCATCTAGATAGTTCATCTAGCCAGTATTCAAAAATTTTAAATATTAGGGTTTTGACAGAACTTATTACCCTACTAAGTACATACTTTCAGTAAAATTAGAACGTTAAACAAAAACGAAAAACTTAATCAATTACATTTGCATTATGTTTGGGTAGTCCTTTTTGATTATGTTAGGTGAGTCGGAATTAATATCAAATGCATAGGAGAGTTCACTGATTCACTCAACCTAGAGATCTGGGAATTGGTGCCAAACACCGCTCTACAAAGAGGTGGTCTTAGAGGTATAATTCTACTACGCGAATTTCGCGTAAAAAAATGCAAATTGACTTTTACTTCATTTCAAAATCCTAACTCTGTTGTGAGACAGCCTGTAGTTTCATTCATTGGAGTCTCCAATAGTCTGGCATAATAAAGGGTTCATACTTCACCCCGTAAAAGTCAGCCCGTAAAAGTTCACTGCTAGACATGAGCTTTTTCCATTGTAGGGGTTTTCCCGTAATCGTCACGACTTTGCTGACGGATCGACGATAGCAGTGCCGGACGTCTTTTGCCTTTGACGCTGTTTCCTGTTGCTGATCTATCGTCAACGATGTAGTTAAAACGTCGTCTATCGAAAGCCATAAGTTTTTCTGGTATTTCCTATAGTCACACAACACGCGGGAAGAAATTGAGTGATGGATTTTCTTACGCTACATCATTATTATTACACAGTGATTAATGTTTGTTATTTTATTTCTCATAAAAAGTCATAAATAATTTGTCTTCATAAATTTCTTTTTGAAAGTGGATTTACATTGAACATTTAATTCCTTTGCTTTTTACAGAAGATCCATTGGTATCATTGACAAATATTTTGATGAAGTAATGCTGGATCAAGAGTTTATTGGAACACCAGAACGGTTACAGAAATTTTTGAAAATGATTCCAGATGAAACTTTCAGAGACATAGTTGAAAAGAATTTAGCAAAATTGTCTGAATCATCTTTGGAGAGATGGAAGTCATTTGTTAACATTTATGATACATACTTAAGAGAAGTAAGTTGTATTTATTAAAAATCGCATTAATTATTAGCATGGTAATTAGCATTTAGCACATTAAATAGATGTGCAAGACGTAAATTTTTTTCATCGCGTTGCAGCAGCGTGCGTTCGCTCTCGAGTTTTGGGTCACATATTGCATAAATGCGTAATATGTTTCTTTAAATGAGAGTGCAAAAGCTTCGTACAAGGTACAAGCGCCTCGTAATTTAGTACTGTCGCGTGTCGACATGCATCGCGTTATTTTCTATACCTGCTGCTGCATGTGAATACCGCACTTATGTGCATGCGTTGCGAGATACTTGTATGAAGCGTCAGCAGTACACTGGTATTATTGTCAAATTTTCATAGGTTTTGGCAACCTCTTTCATATCATTGAATCAACATAAAATAGGTTTGTTAGCATTTTCACATTCGAGTTGCTAGCATTTTCACACTTATTATAGAATTTATACCTATAATGGTACCAGCGCATATACATTAAAATGCTAGAGTAGCTATTTCTGAAGTGTTAGGATTTACTATAATTCCAATGCTTGGTAGACGGATAAGACAGTCGCCGTAAAAGATGAAGTTGTTTACTAAAATGAGCTGACACCATTCAGATACAATGAATCTCGATATTTCGCCCACTTGACTGTTAGTGTCATTAACGTAATATATGAGGATATATGTTCCATCCAGTTTCATTATTAGGATTTGGGTTTAACTTCTTTAAATGAATTTGCTTCATTTGTTGAATGCAATTTCGTCAAATTGGTTTACATATATTTGTTAAAATCCGACGAGTACTTTGAGTTGCAGCTAAACAGAAACCAGCCAAAATTGTTACCCTTTTCCAGGGCTCAGACAGTCAGGTGAAAAATAATTCTTAACGTTTATAAATAATCTTTCACTATATTTTCAGAATGGCAATGCAATTCGGAAGATAAAATATTTATTAGAAGAAATTAAAATACAATACTGTTATCCACGATTAGATGTTAATGTTACAAAAGGATTTAATCATCTTCTGAAATCGCCCTTTAGTATACATCCAAAAACTGGGAAAGTTTCAGTAGTATTTAAACCAAATAATGCAAGAAATATGAAATTAGATGAAATACCAACAATATACACTTTACTTGATGACAGCTCCCCAGACAATGTACAACATCAGAATAACATGAGAAGTGCAGTGAAAAATTTTCAGGAAGTAGTTTTCTCTTTGGAGAAAGCAGAAGCAATGAGAAGAAGAAATGATGCTAGTAAGTAATAATGACTTTGAAATAAGTGATAAGTGCCCCCCCCCCTTTTTCCGTCATCTGAACTGCAGATCCTATTTAGTAGTATCCACTGAGCTTATGATAAGTTATTCACTAGCAACCCTCCTAGTACAACTTTGTTACAAAAAAGAAAGATTGTTCGAGACTAATTCCAGCCGCTCAATTTCATCTTGCTCCTTATATAATCTGAATGATTGGTGGTGGTCCAACTTCCCTGTGGAAACGACTACCACCAGCTATTTTTCCGGAGCAATAATACTTAGAGACCTTAAAGAAAAGAGTCTCCTAATTATCATAAGCCTAGAACTTATAAGCTCAGGTTACGTACGTTAGTGAGCTCAGTGAATATTACAAAATAACAGTGCAAAACAGTGATACTTGTGTTTCGACAAAAAAATATTAAAGTTAATAGTGAAAACTAAAAAAAGAAATATTAACAGTGTAAGTAATATATTCCAACAAAAACTTGTAATCCAATATATAGCATCTAACCTAAAATTGCAATTCGTCCATCATATATTTGATAAATTCATAGATTCGGCGATCAAAGTACCAACCTAATAATAACAACTGGTGACACTGACACCTGTCAACATAGTGCACAGTTGCTACATTTTTTTATAGGATAGGGTGAAAAACGAGCACACAGTCCACCTGATGGTAAGTGGTTGCTGTGGCACATAGACAAACTACATCTATCCTCGATTACGAATCAAAAAGCAGTTACGTTGTCATCCGTGAGGACTTAGGTGGAATGCCTTGTTTCCAGTAAAAAGGTCTCCGGTTCTCTACACTCACCATACGAAACACAACAACATTAAACTACTATTTGACGCTAGTATTTTGTGAGATCGTGGTCCTTCCCCGGTCGAGCCGACCCATTCGTGCTACAACCATAATATAGTACAACTATACTACTAACATAACTGCAGCATGGCTCTACCACGTAAAAAAGCTACATAAAGGATATACTAAAGTTACCATATCAACATTTAAATTACCACACAGTAAAAGTGTTACCTTAATAAACCTCCAAATATCCCCATAAATGGACATAAATATGGAGCTGAGAAAGAAAAACTAAATCAACAAACCTTCATAATAATGTTACGAGCTTGAGGTTCGTGACAATAAAAATTGCCGATAGAATTACCCAAATTAACACTTTAATTTTCTTTACACAAATTAAAACTTAAAACACTAATAATTAAGCACACTAATTCACTTTATTCCGCTCCGAAGCTTCGCTTGTCTCGCCAAATTCAATACTTCCCCGATCGCGTATTGCAGCGCCTTTATATAGGGCTTTTCCACGAAAATATCCAGAATATTCAAGTAAATAAATACGCGCCGGTTGGCGCGCGTACCAAGCGCAGAAAATTCGAGTCTCAGCTTCTAGAAGCTTAGTTCTTCTTTTCGACAACAGATGGCGCTGTCGATTGAAAGATTAGTAATGTCGTTTTCTGGAAAGCTCCCCTCGCTCTCGTCCCCGACACTAGATAGCGCTAGTGCCGGGTACATGACGTCAACTTAGGCGCGTAACACTGCCCTCTCCTAAGACATGCTCGTCCCGAGCATTATCGGCCCCATAATAACGCGCCAGGCGATCCGCATGGGCGATCTTAGGAGTCCCTATTGCGCCTTTCTGTAACGGCTCCGCAATGTCAAGGGCTGTCCTATCCCCTGGTGCACCAACATTGTACAATTTCGATGCTCCTCTACTACGTGTCTGAGGTCCCCTAACAGCCCCTAAATTGTACATGTACGACACCAATCCTCGACATCGTCACGATAATGAACCCAGTAAAACTGTTCTCGGACCTTCAGTAGAATTCGTTTAACTCCCAGATGGACTCTTGAACGACCATTATGGCACAGCTGTAGAACATTCGGCACTTTAGCTTTAGGGACAACCATTTGCAAACGACAGCTGTCTCCCCGACCATTGTCCCATTTACGGCACAGGACTCCATCCTGAATCAGCAAGCTGTCCCATTGGGCCCAATAGCTTTTCGTGGTTGAACTCATCGCTGAGACGTCGCTCCACTTAGGCTTGGTAACACGGGCCTTCATCCATTCCAGAATCGGCTTGATGTCCGGATCTTCCTGCTGTGCATGTCGTAGGCTCTCCTTCCGCTCGTTGCTGAGGTGGTCTGTCCTGAGCATCCTCACGGATACCACTTCCTTACTCTCTTGCCTAGTACAATGTTTCCAATCTTCAGGACAAGGTCTTCTTGACAATGCATCTGCGTTGCCATGAGATTTCCCGCTGCGATGTTCGATCTCAAAGTCGTATTCCTGCAGCTGCTGGGCGGTGATGTTAGCCGCACTTCCCTTCTGAGATCGTTCACCTTCCCTTTCTAGGGTTCGCTTAGGGCAGCTGGATCGAAGATGGCCCCTTTCCCCACAGCCATAGTACCTAGGGCTGTATCCTTTATTGTGGTCGCGAACCGTAATTGCTGCAACCTCCCTAGCGCGCGGAGAACGACGATCCTGCCACCGCCAGGCGGTGCCGTTAGCCGCACTTCCCTCTCGAGATCGATCACCTCTCCTTTCCACGGTGAGCTTAGGGCAGCTGGATCGAAGATGGCCCTTTTCCCCACAGCCATAGCACCTAGGGCTGTATCCTCTGTTGCGGTCGCGAACTGTAGCTGCTGCAACCTCCCTGACGCGATGGCAACGATGATCCTGCCGCACGGCTTCCACCTCCAGTGCATGGGCCAAGGCGTCCTTAAGCGTCTCGTGGTGCCCGAGCCTCACAGCAGCTCTGACTTCCAGGTCGCGGATGCTGTCGATGAATGTCTGCACCAGGTTCCCTTCCATGAGCGCAGGTACAGACCGGTATGCTTTCCGCACCAGCTTCTCCACCTCTAGAGCCCACTGCTGCAGGTTTTCGTTGATGCGCTGCACACGATCTTTAAGCTGCACACGAAAGACGTGTTCCAGGTGAGCGTCGCCATATCTCGACTCCAGTGCCTCAAGGAGTTGCTCATAAGTCACTTCTTCACCGAGAGCTTCCAGAACTGTTAAGGCCTGGTCGCGCAGGCCTTGTGTGAGAGCAGTCATGGCCTGACTTTTATTCCAGCCGTTCGCCTTCATAACAGCTTCAAACTGGATTTTGTAGGCCGACCAGGAAGAAGTCCCGTCGAACGGTGGCACCTTGAACCCACGTAGCGAAGGTGTTGCAGCTACTACGGGAGCTGTAATTGCATCCCCCAGCATGAGGTCATCCAGCGTTTTCTTCACGTAAGCCACCACGTTGTCAACCCGATTGTTCACTTGGTCGATTCGGGTTTCAACTTTCTCGATTCGGGTTTCAGCTTTCGCAATTTGGATTTCAGCTTCCGACAGGCGGTTATCAAGCTGAGCAACCCTATCCTTCACCTCGCTTATCTCCTTCCCGAAGGTAGCGTGAACGTCCTTCATGAGGAGCATTTGCTCTTCCAACCGACGAGCCTGTTCTTCCTGTCCGCACTGCAGCTGCTCTTTCAACTGACGGACCTGTTCCTCCTGTCGGCGAGCCTGTTCCTCCTGCTGCTCTTTCAACAGACGGGCTTGTTCCTCTCGTCCGCGCTGCAGCTGCTCCTGTAGCATCGCCAGAGCACCTAAGTCAGGTGCTGCAGATGTAGGAGCTACTGACGGGCCCGCAGCCTCCGTGGCTGGCAGTTGGCCCTCCGACATCTGCGGCGTTGCACCACCAAATCTCCTCTGGTCCGTCTCATGCTGGCGTTGACTGCGGGTACGGACACCCTCCGTTTCCTCCTTAGGTAAAATCGGCATGATTTTATCCCACTTCTGACACCAATTGTTACAAGCTTGAGGTTCGTGACAATAAAAATTGCTGACTAATTACCTAAATTAACACTTTAATTTTCTTTACACAAATTAAAACTTAAAACACTAATAATTAAGCACACTAATTCACTTTATTCCGCTCCGAAGCTTCGCTTGTCTCGCCAAATTCAATACTTCCCCGATCGCGTATTGCAGCGCCTTTATATAGGGCTTTTCCACGAAAATATCCAGAATATTCAAGTAAATAAATACGCGCGCCAACCGACCAAGCGCAGAAAATTCGAGTCTCAGCTTCTAGAAGCTTAGTAGTAGTATATACTTTATTGTACACCACACATATACAACGAATAAATACATTACAGAGGAAACTTAATATATACGTGTGTACAATAAGGCGGTCTTATCGCTAAAGAGCGATCTCTTCCAGACAACCTTTGGGCTAAGGAGAAACTGGAATTAAGAACAGTAGGAGGTGGTGCGTTTTATGTTACACTTACATTCTAATATCTAAATAAACTAAACTATATTTTGTTAAAATACCACAATAATACATAAAAAATAATAATAATAAATAAACATACATATTAATAAATAGGTTTATATATATAAATATATACACATACATATGTATACATAAATAATAAATAAATAAATATAAAACAAAGAAGAAAAACACAGAATAACTATCTGTTGCTAGAATTGGTTATCAATAACCACAAAGTGTTAGGTAATGCTTCTTGACGTCACTTTTGAAACTTTAGTTCTTCTTTTCGACAACAGATGGCGCTGTCGGTTGAAAGATTAGTAATGTCATTTTCTGGAAAGATCCCCTCGCTCTCGTCCCCGACACTAGATGGCGCTAGTGCCGGGTACATGACGTCAACTTAGGTGCGTAACAATAACTAATACAGTGACAAAAAATGTCATGGAAGCATTAGACGAGAAAATGGTAAGAATTGTGGAAGAAAATAAAAACCTAAAAATGAAAGTATTAAAAATGGAAGAAATAATTAATTTTCTGTAAACAAATAAATGAAAAAATAATTTGGTTTTCTTTGACATTGAAGAAAATGAGAAAAGAAAACATGAACTTATAGACTATATAAAAGAAATCATCATAGAATCAAGAACTCACATAGACTGCCAAAAAATAAGCAATGTTTACAGGATTGGAAGATCATCTAATA